TTTCTTCATTCTTTTTTCTTTTTGTTTGTCAGACTGAGTAGTCTCAATTGGTCAGTCTTCAAGATTGCTAATTCTTTTTTTATAAATACTGAGATTTGCTTTTGAGCCCCTCTAGTGGATTTTTTTCCCCCCAGTTATTTTTGAATTCCTGAATTTGTATTTGCTTCCTTTTTAAAAATATAATTTCCATCTCTTTATTGATGTATTTATGAGACTTGTACTGAGTTCATGTCTGGGCTTCCTCAGGGACAGATTTTATTGGTTGCTTTTTCCCCCTGTATATGGGCCATACTTTCTTGTTTCTTTGCAAGTCTTGTAATTTTTTTGTTGAAAACTAGGTATTTTAAATAACACAATGTGGCAACTCTGGAAATCAGATTCTCCCTTTTCCCTGTGGTTGTGAGCGGCCAGTGAAGTCTGTACTTGGTCAATTTAGTAGTCAGCTAATAATTGGGCAGAGATTTCTTTAAACATCTGGGACAAGTACATATACTCAGTCTTTGCTGAGAGGCTTCATGTGCATGTTGGAGCACACCTTCAATACATCCTAGCAGCTGAAAACTGCCCTAACCTTTACTTCCTGCTCATGTAGAGTCAAGGTCAGCCAGGGATGAGAGCTTTTTAAAGGCCTTCTCTGGTTTGTCCTGAGCATGCACTGAGCCCTGCACATTCATGTGTCCTTCTGAATTCCCAGCAATATGTCAGAGCTTTTCAAAGTCCCTATGGACATTTTATTCCCCACCTTTTCCTTCTGTTTGCCTTAATTGTTATCTACCACCTCAGGCAGGCGCATCACTTGGGCATAACTGTTTTCAAGAAACACTCCCTGGGGAAAAGGCTTTTCTGAGTCTACTCAAAAACAGTCTTGCAAGTGGGGTCTTCCAGGGAATCTTCACACAGACCAAATAGTGACAATTCTTTGGGAATGAAGCTTTGAAGGAGCCCTGGCTCTATTTTGTATTGATCCCCCTGATGGCTGCTAGGCTGCACTGGGAATGCAGGCTGCCCAGGGGCTGGAGAATGGGGATGGGTCTAGGGCAAGTTAAGATGTCACAGAGTTCACTGTTCTTACTGAGATGCAGTCATGATTCTTAAATAAAGCCTCCCTAGGTTCCTGCAAACCTTTGGTTAGTTTCCAAAGTTCTTAAGTTGATATTGGCGATATTTGCCTTTTGGTGGTGGTGGTGGTTGTTGCTTTTATGGAGGAGAGCTTTTTTTGGAGGTCCTTATTCCTCCACCATTTTCATTGACATCCATTTGGATCAGGAATTCATTACATTTTTGTTTTCCTGGGGTTTCTTGCTGCCTTTCTTTTAATCTTGTCAAAATAGTACGCTTTCATCATAACCTCAGGATTACCAAGACTCTCAGTCATATTGTGTATTGTCTAGAAATCACTTTCTTCCTGAAGTCCTCTCACCTCCAACTCCAGTCTAAACTGGGTATTTCCAGCTCTGTTACCATCCTGGAGCTTCCTTCATGCACTTCTGCATTAAATGTACTGTTTTCTGGATCCCAGGGTGGATATTCCTTTTTAGTTTTGTCTTCATTTTTTTCTCAAAGTGGTATGTGGTAAATGCAGTTTTTGTATACCTTAAAATGTATTTATTGTAACTTTTCATTTATTACACAGTTTGGGTATGTATAGAATTCTGGCTTGAAAATAATTCTCTACTTAGAAGATGGATGGTGTTTCTCTCTTGTCTTGTTACGTCTAGTGTTACTGATTCTAGAAAACTCTTCCATTCAGGTACTTTGTGAGTAAACTTTTTCTTCTCCTCTTTGGAACTTGTAAGACCTTAACTCAGTGTTATGAAATTTCGTAAGTTTGTGTAAGTCATCTTTCCTTCATTCTGCTCAGCTCTCAGTGGGTCTTTTCAGCCTGAAGTCATATTTTTCTTAAGCTGTGGAAAATTATTTTATTTTAGTGTCATAATTTCTGGAATGTCAGATTGATTGTCTGAATTGATCTCTGTCTCTACCTTGATTTCTTTGACTTTATTTTCCACCCTTTCTATTGAAATTTTTATTTTAGCTACCATATTTTTAATTCATGTTTTCTTTCTTTTTGGTCTAATTGTTCTATTTTCATATTTTATTCTTGTTCTATAGGTACAGTATCTTCTCAGATCTCTGTGAAGATGTTAAAATGGAAAATATTTTAGAATATCTTTTTTCCTAATTAGCTCTGTAATCTTTGTTTTTGTTTTACCTAAGTCTTGTTGCTAGTTTTCTTCATAATATGCAATCCTTAGTTTCCTTATATTTTATCAGAAAATACTTTTGCCCATTCTCTTGTGTACAGGGTGGTGTTGATGATTTTATCCATTGTGTGTCTGGGTTCTGTTCCTCCCACCACTGCTGAGAGCTGAGTGGATCAATCTGTCAGCTTTGCTTTATAGGGTGTGGGGCCTTGGCCATCCCAAGGCTTGCTTGTGTAGGGTTTCACTTGGGTGGTAGGCATCTACACCAGGCTCCTCAGACTGCTGGTTAGTTTCTTTGGAGCAGTGCCCTCTCTTGCTCCATAGCAAATTGTAGGATTCATGTCCCTTCTGACAGGGCTTCCAGGGCACAGCTGTTCCCACTCCTGCGCTCCACACCTGCTGAGTCCCAGCCGGAGCCCATCGAGCTGTGGCTTCCTGGTGTCCCATGCCCTGTAGGATCTGTCCCCCTCTCCTCTCTCATCTTCTGCAGATTTGTTGGCATGTCATCTGTTCCTAGCCTCCCACCTCCCCCCTTCACTGTCTAGGGATTTTCTCTTTGTTGACATTTCTGCAGGTCACAGGAGGTTGGAGTGATGACTGCCTATTCCCAGGGTGACGTCTTCAACTGGCACTCTTGGAAGCATCTCTTGTCTGGTTTTCTCCCTCAGTGATTTGGTTCATTCCCCTGGGCAGGCAGTGTGAGAAGCTTGCCTACATTTGGAAGTTATCATGTTACATAGAGCTAGCTGGAAGAATTGTATTTATTAAAGCGAGCTTGCTCTTGGGAGACTAGGACCGAAGGAGCCTTGACCTGCAGTGTCAGGTTTTCATCATACACAGAAGTTCATGGTGAGGCATGACCTGGCCCAGCGTGTGTCTGGATCCATCCAGGAGTAAGTGGAGTGCGACCATGTTTGATTGAGTTTCTCATGCTGTGAGAAGGCAGAGAGCAGAGGTAGGCTGTGCACAGCACTCGACAGAACCAACCAGTCTCAGGGGAGGATGCCTCCTCGGGATCTGCATCTGAGCCTAGTGGGGCAGCCTATGGCCAGCAGAGGGTTCTGGACATGCCCACCCGGAGGGCAGCCCTTCTGCCACCTCCCCACTCCCTGCACAGCCCAGGAATCGTCTTTCACTTAGAAACTGCCCGACTGTGGCAACTCCCACACATCGTTTTTCCTCTTGCCTTTTAATTAATGGATATTTAAACTACAGGTAGGTTGCAGTATCAGATTTCACTGGTAAATACTAAACTCCAGTTTGAAAATTCTGTAACTTTGAGAGGTTTTTTGCAATTATTTTATAAGTATTTAAGGAGCACCTACCAAGTGACACGAGAGTAGCCTCCAAATTGTTTTGATTCCACACACCTGTTAGAAAAAACTGCTAAGAGGGGGCCGGCCCAGTGGCGCACTGCTACAGTGCACCGCTTGGGAGCGTGGTGGCGCTCCCGCCGAGGGTTCGGATCCC